TGGGATTGCCAAGAGCTACAATTTTGTTTCCTTTCCTCTGCTATTTACTTTAATTAGCCTGATGATCCCAAATCTTGATTCCAAAACATTCATGCTTTTTTCTATCACTGATAAAACTTTTGCATATAACAGTTCCTCAAGAAATATTTTTGGCTGTTTAATAAACAAATGAGTGAAAACTATCCCTTGGCTTTTTCTCATCAGTCACTTTCCTTTATCTAAGGCAGCGGTGATGGTTTTGGAAGAGTGGCCAGGAGAATCAGGAGTTTTCAAATCCTGTCCCTGACACTCATTACTGTCTCTGTAAACAGATATTGAGAATTAACAAACTCTCAGAATTTCAGATTAGATAGTTCAGAGAGGATCTGAATCACAGATGTGTAGATTTCTGCATTCATTCATTTGAAATAAACCCATTCATGAATTTGCTCATTTCTTCTAAAAATATCAGTTGAGCTATTCCTATGTCAATCACTGTGCCAGGGTCAGAGATACAAAACTGAGCATGGTATGTTCATTGCTCCAAAGATTTTAGAGAATAATAGACCTAAGGAACTCAAACATTTTTCTGATACAGCATTAGGGTTTTGAAATTTAGTACTCAGAGCAATAAGCCTCAGAGCGACTAGGGTCACAATGGATTATTAGCTCAGTGGATGGGGGATGCTATGAGTATTTAATGGAAGGATGGAGATGTTCCAGAACCCAGCTGTGGATCCGCAGTACTATCACTGAGGCTTCCTCTGAAGCCGAATAAAACGACAACAAGGATCCTTTTCTCATTCTCTGCCCACACCTGCTTCGAATCCGTGCCTGCAGAGGGCACACCAACAAATGAGGATTTTAGGTCTGCATTCAGGAGGACAGCCCACTTTTGTCCCTTGGGATTTGTCTTTTCTGTTGTTATAAGGATGACCTATAGACTTCACCTGTACACCCAACATCCGTCACCAACAAATAGAGGGAATTATGAGCAGACAGGAAAGATAGCAGGAGAGAAGGGGTTCTGTCCACTTCTCTGGAGCTGAGAGTAGCAGATCAGGCCTTCAGACTCTAATGGGATCCACAGGGACAAAGGGCAATTTGGTATAAATCCGGGTGTGATCTACTTTACCCAGACTCCTCCGCTTGCCATCTCCCTTGGGTTTGACACTCGCCATTGCCTCCATGAGAATGCCTTTTCCTGAGCCTATACCTCTAGGAACCTCTCCTCCTCTCCCAAAACAAGGGATTCAGACAAGCTAGGATGACAGCGTTCCTTGACAATGAAGGACAACAGTAGCTTTTCCTTCACAAGCCACAGGATGACTGGAAGTTAAATCTCTGAGTTACTGCTCCTGGATGAAATGTTTAATGATGTTGCCCAGGAAACGTCAGGACATCAGCTCAGCCTCTGGGCAGGTACAGACTCTTCTTGCCAAGAGTGCTTTTAGTTCCACTGCCAACCCCAGAGCGAGCATGACGAACAGATCGAAGTGGAGAGAATGCTGCTGTCATAGCAAATATGGGCTCCCGGGGCCCAGGAGGGACTGACCTAGAAAGGCAACCTCATGCTGGCATTTTCTTTAAATGCAGCCAGCGTCCAGCATAACTGAATGAGGGGAACTAAGTGATAGCAGACTGCATTTTGAGAAAGCACAGAAATAGACTGAGACTTAGCAATAAGCATTCCGAAGTAGTAGGGCCCTGAGGGAAGGAAATGATGTCTCTGAGCAGGCAACAACAGTGTGCAAGTCCTGGAAGAGTATCCAGAGACTCTCCCTGTAGGATTCAAACTGAAAATGGATTAGCACCAGCATAGAGATGAGGAAGCCGAGATGGATGTGCAGAAACTACCAATATTCAGATGCAGAGACATTGGTAGAGCCAATGGTATTCTCTGCTGACTAGGGAGGATGTGTTCAGGCAGTCTCAGAAAAATTATTGGTCATTTTCATAAAATTCTAAGCTAGAGAACAATTCTTCATCTACATAGACATGACTATTAAGGTCAAAAACCTAATGTCTGTGTTCAGCAAAAGAAGCCCATTTAAACCAAGAACTTAATTCTATCAGATACGATGCATGTTACTTGTGCATATGCAGTACTTTGTAAAAGTACCCCCCCCCGAAACTGTAACATGTATAAATGAAAGAGAGTGGGAACGGAGGTGATACCAAGAAGCACATGGTTAGATGACTCAGCAATTCATTAATCCTTTTTTGCCCCATCTAAGACACATACCAACAAAGATGAATGCCAAATGCATAACAAATTTTTATTGCTTTAACAAACATGGCTTAATTATCCATTGAGTATATTATTAATAAACTACAGAGTGACATGAGTTGAAAGTAAAATACCATTTCAAATAATGCTACATAACTTCGAAACAAACCCAATGTTATGTATGTGAAATTATTCAATTGAGAAGAAAATGAAAGAAAAATTTCATTGATTCATTGAAGACAAAAGGTATGCAGAATCTCAAAAAGGAGTATTTGGGCTTCTATGTCAATGTCATAAGGATATTACAGAGCTTTTTCTATTCTTGGATAAATAATTCATTTGTATTGATTGGTGAAATTGACTTTTAGGATAAATATGGATCTGAAAGATCCACATGTGCTTTTGCCAAAGCTTATCTATATCTAAAGCATAAAACTGCTTCAAATTGGCCATTACTATAGTGGTTCATTCAACCCCCGTCTGCCTTCTGAATAAGATGTATAAGCAAGATGGTTTGAAACATCTCAAACGCCAGTAAACTTAAGCTCTCAAGATGTTGCTGCAATAAGCATGACTATTATTTTTGCTTACTTTTATTTCACTTCAGATTATCTTAGTCTACATCTGCCCTTCATCTTGAATTATAATGTGCATATTACCTTCAGAGATGTCACTAATTTTAAATTGCTGAAGTTGCTGCTTATAAAAGTATATAAGGTAAAGTAAGAGATTTTATTTATTTATTTATTTTTGTCCAAGTCATGTTCAAACTAAAACATAATCAAAATGGAAGGCAGGGGTACCTGGAGATCTTTCGTGAAATTTTAATTCATATTTAATCACCAACTTCCCCAAGAAAATTTTAAGTCCCAACTATTAGGTACTAAATTGGGCATAACATATGTCTACTTCTGTTTTCAGGGACTTGTTAGTCACAGCTATGGAGAAAAAATCATTATGCTCTCATTTATACCCAATGACATTTTCTTTGGAGGCATTGTACCACACAAGGAAAAATTTCAGAACTAGTAAGAAGCACAGCTTAACCCTGCAAGACAGTTGGTAAAATTCTCATATTTATATCCCCATGGACACATTGTATACCAACACAGAAAAACACAGATAAGCCTAAGATTTGGCAAGCAATGGAACACCATCTCTAACAGTATTTTTAAAATCAATTTTATGTTTAAAACCTCAGGAGAAGGAAAGTTCTGTTTAACTGAGAGCGTGGACTAACATCTCAGACTTGCCCTTTTGCTCTATTAGTAAACACTCCAAATTTGATGTTAGAAGCCTAAGTTAAGAGAACCTGTTTGTCTAGGCTAGACTCCTGGTGAATACTGCAGAGAGGTTCAGATAATTCACAAAATCACACACTGACTGATGGGACTGATGAGGGTTGGCTTGGCACTGTGTAATACATGGCTGTCTGAATTGAAAAAAGAGTTATCTGTAGTCTGTATTATTAACTGCTGTTTCCAAAAAATACAGGTAAAACTAAGAAGGAAAAATACCAAATTAAAAATAGTGTTTGGTTCTGGGGAAGAGAAATTGGAATGGAACTTGGGTAGGGGTCAAATGATACTCCAGCTTTATTTCAATGTTTTATTTCTTTGATGTAAAACAATAAATTTCACTCAACTATTAAAAAAAAGAGTTAGCTGTAGTCTTTGAATTATTGATGCAATTATTGAAAGGGGGCTTTCAATAATTGCTATGTTTGCTGCTTGTAAAAGTACATAAGGTAAAGTAAGAGATTTTATTTATTTGTTTAAAGAGATGCTACATCCTTTCAAGATCAAATAACCAGAACTAAAAATAATCGTTCTTCTTGAAAATGCAAAGGAAAGAAAACTTCAGGACTAGAAAATATCTCAATTGAAAGGAAAACATGGGGACTGCTCTGCTACTACCATTTAAGTGGCTCTTGTAAATATCCTCCATTGGAGAGAATGTTAGAGATGATTGTTAGAAATCTGAGCCTTTTTCAAAGAGAGATTCCTTCCCAAGAGTTTCTTTTTCTTACAGTTGGGAACAAGGAACTGCCAGGAACCCAACAGTGAAGACCCCAAATAAACACATGCTCAGTTTGAAGAAATACATATGGCTCCACTTTAATAAAAATCATAAAGTCACTTAACTCCCAACAGCAACATGGGCAAGAAGAAGAGTCAAGTCTTCAGTTGGCTGTAGGAAGAAGGACCACATAGAGTTAAAGGACTAAATTTACCTGCAGACCGGGCACATACATACCATATACATTTGTGACCTCCATAAAGAAGGAAACATACATTTTCTATAGTTTGGGTCAGTTTGGAATACAAAGAACCTTTATCTTATTTCAATAATCCTTGGCCAATGATCCCCTGGGATCCATAACTTTAAACACACAGGCACACAATAGCAGTGAAATAGGAAAGAAATGGTGCCAACAAATGTTTTTCAACAGTCAATGCTGAAGATGGGTTAAAACAGGCATTTGCATTGAAGATGTCTCCTCTATAACAGTAAAAGTCATTTGTCAAGGGTTTTCATCCTATTTCAGATCACATATGAAATATTCATTCCTCATATCTCTGATACTCTAATTCAGATTATTAGAGGTAAGAATATGCACCTAATTACTTATGTTTCTGCCTTTTATCTGCTTTAAATGGTATCATTATAGATTGATAATAATTTTTTTTAAAGTTTCCATCTCTTTGTTCTTACATAAGAAGCAGCCAACACTTGAAATGTGTATTTCATTTTAAACTGAAAAATCCAATTCCTTTTTTCAGGAAGTCTGGTTGGCATAATGGCTAAAGTTTAGACTCGACTGCAAAAAAAGAAATTTTAAAGCCAATGAATTTTTGAGCAAGATTCTTACCCTCTTTTAGCCTCAGTTTCCTTGTCTATGGAATGAATGTAGGTAACAATGTTTATCCCATAGGATTATTAAGAGAATTAAATAAGGTAATAGCATTTAACACAGAGTTGGCACATGGGGTAAAGACCACTGTTTGTTTTGTTGCCTGGTGTATTCTAAGAACCTAGAACAGTGCCTGGAAGGTCATAGTTGCTCAACAAATATTTGTTAAATACATTGTGTGATTATCCTAAGGAGCTCTGACATTGGGAGGAATTTCACCCATCAGCAGTCTAGAATTTCCATTTCTCATCTTGAAAACAATATCATTAAATCATCCCCAAAAGTTATGTAGTTCATCCTCCTGCCTCTGACATGACTTCACCCAAACCAGCAAAGACAAGCACTCTATTCTATCCTTAAAATATTCCTCAGGAAGATGCTGCCTAATCTTCATAGAACCAAAAACTCTTCCTCCCTTTGACTATAAGTTATCTGCTTCTGCAATTACTTTTCTTATTCCCTCCCCTACCTCCGTCACTTTCTTACTCATGTCCCTTTAGAACTCTTCTGCGTATGTTGCTTTTCCTCTCCAACTTGTCAAACTCATTTTGAACAGCAGTCCTTGTGATTTGTTCCCATAAAACCAATGAGGAGTTTTAGATGCAATAAGCCAGCCTGCAGCCATGAAACATCTCATCCTAGGATCTACAGAGAGGCCAGCCCTACAAACCAGCTATTGCCATAGACAGGATTCTGGTAAGGTTGGGTTCCATTTGGAAATGGTTCTCTCAAATAGTATTAATTATCTTCTTTTGAAGTGTTCATGAATAGATCCTATCTATGTTGGTAGGGAGAAAGATTCACATGTAAAATGATGACTGTAGTAGACTATTGTTTCTTTTGCTTTAAAAAAAAAAATCTCTCATTCATGTGAATTGGTTAAAATGGCAAAAAAAAAAAGTATTTAAAACTTTAATTCTCTTCTTTTCTCTCTTGTAGATATCTAGGTTAGTGTTACAGCCTTGATTAAGACATCTTAAGTTACATACACCTGGTTTTAATAATGTCCATACTTTCTTTCCTAATAGACCCAAGGGGCCAAAATGAAAACTATATATGTAGATGCTTCTGTCAGTAAGCCTGGCTTTTTTCTTTGGTAGTAACATGCAAAATACTAATACTAAAGATATCATAACAATATGGAAAGAGAGTTATGACAAAAAAAATGCTATAAGGTTGTCATGTGAGTAAGTGCTGTTTCCTGATATGTGATATACAAATGAAAATGAAATAGAAATTTCTCAGGTTGCAGAAATTTTCCTAGTTTACTTGAATTTTTGAAATAATATGCAAGTTATAATCTTTTAACTGGATGACCCTAAACTTTCTGATCAAGTCAAACAGAAATATTTGTGACTATCCAAACAGAAAAAAAATGGCTATTTGATTCCTAAATATGCAATAAGCAGGCTGTCTTGGTAAAAGACAGGCTGACAAAACAAAGTACAGATTTCATTCAACCTGATATTCTGGTGCCTACTTTGCTGACCTAGAGAATTACTTATGACAGTACTGCAACAGGATAGCAATTCTGCAATGAATTCACTGGAGAATGGTAAATATCACCAGGAAAAGTCTCAGATCTTATTCCACTCATTCTGCCACTCTACAGAAATCTGTATCCATGGGAACCTCAATCCCTATCACGAAGCGTGCACTTGATACCAAAAAGGGTAAGAATGTTTTCTGGAATAGAAAAAAAGGGTGGGTGGGCAAGAAATAATGCTGCTGGGAATTAAAATTATGATTTAAATGCTATAGAATATATTATTCAATTTCTTTGTGGGGGTAGCCTACAGAGATAAGAGATGGGAGACGGATATTTTTGGTGCATGGACCAAGAGGAAAGTACATTAACTGGGAATAATTGGGATGAGCAGCCCTGACTGCATCTATCTGGGAGAGAACTGTCAGCAGTTAATAGGAGGATCCTTAGCCCAGGGATGGGTGATGAAAAGACCACCTTGAAAGTGAAGGGGTAGAAAGCCACTGAAAATATTCTCTGGTGTCAGGCATTAGTTTTTTCTGCCACTCATTATTGAGTGTGAGGAGCACTAATTATTGGGTCTGAGGCTCAAACTGGGCATTTATCTCCATGTTCATAATTTTAGCTTGCTATAGTATGACTTGAGAACTGACCTCCTTTGAAGCTGGTAAGTGTGCCAAAATGCCAGACTGAAAAAGTGAGCCTTTCTGTGTAACTATGGAGTCCTTAATTCTTACACAGAAGGCATTTGATGGGGGACATGTTATATGGATATTGATAAATTAAGAGATTTGCAAAGGCCAGAGGGCATAATTAAGGATATTATATTTTCTAATATTCATTATTTTCACTTATGTCCTAAGACAAACAGAAAGGGGATCATTAACAAATTACCTTAGAAATTTAGGGTTTGAATTCTTTTCCTGACTCATTCATTGAGTTGTACCCAGAAACTCCATTAGGAACAAATATTTTAATCCAATGATTTCCACTTGTGATAAAGAAAAGGGAGATATTCATATTTCTCATTCTTCTTGTTTGATAAAAACCTTCCAGTTTTTCTAAATAAAACAATCTTTACTGGATTATGATTTCATGGATATTTTTTTTAAGTTATCATTCTGATTCCAGTCTGTTGTTTGACTGTGATGCTGGTGACTAAGAGTGGAACTATCCTTGTAGGTGGTATAAACCTTCTCCTCCCTCTCAAGGACTTTTTTCTTACATAAATTAACATAAATTGATTTCACTAAAAAAAAAAAGCAAATCTTGATTAGCAGGTGAAAGCAAATATATCATCAGAAGAAGCACCAAACTCTGTGATATGGTTTTAAAAGGTGCATGAATGGGCCACCAAACTGTCACTTCATTTAGAAATTTCTGCCATTCCCCCACAGAAGAAGGACTTAAATGTAAATATATATAGTACATTCATACTTCCTGATAAGGTTCATTTAACTATGCTTTATAGCACAAACATTTGTTAATATATTTGCTGCTAGTTTTTCTCGTGTATAAGCCCTTATTAGTGGATTTGAATCAAACTAAGTCTCAAAATGCTGCCCACTGCGGGAATTCACTCAGGTGGACAGATATCATTCTCAGCTCTATGCATCTTGTTCTTATTACATCTTTGATTACTACAGTGGACTTTACTCCTGGGACATTCTCCAAGTTGTATCAAGTTGTACTTTTAATTAAGTTTTGTTTACTTACAGTTATTTGCTTTGAGCTACACTGGAAATCTACCTACTTTGAAGAAGAGGCCTTGTTCATAGCTCATTTTGGGTAAAGGGTCATTTTTTTAAGATATAGAGGTTATTTGGTAATTGTATAATTTCAAGGTATTTCTGTTCTTTTGGCATCAGTCCTGCATTCTAAACTCCAACCTGTGGAAAGCTAACATAGGATCAAACAGACATTAGTTTTGCTAAATGACACTTAACAATTCTTGAGCTTGTGGCTTTAGGAACGAAGATACACAGCTAGTAGTTTAGTGATAGTTTTAAAATCTATTTTCTCAACTAAATTATAAATTCACACTTCTATCTGAGCAAAGTATGGTCATAGATGTCACTCTTGTAATATACTCTTGGAAGAAAATGATAGTAGCTTTTCAAAAAAAGGAACTCCCTTTTTTGCTTTTTATTACCTAGATAGTTCTGGAAAATAGAAATATCTGGATTCCCTAATTCCTTTCTGCACTGTTTTCTCTTTTGGGGAGTGGACTCTGTCCTGAATAATTATTGTGGGCCAGAGCTGAGTGCAAGGCAGAGAGGACCTATGACTTTCACCCTCTAGGAAGTTGATATGCTGAGCCAAGGCAACTCAGCATTTTGGAAGAATAAAATAATTCATTACAATAAAAAGTTAGCACTTTCCACATAATTGATAATGATCTATTAAATAAATCCTTTCCCCATACCATTTGCTCAAAGTACCATACATATCATACTCTCAACTTTATGCATTCTTATGTTTCACACATTCTTTTACCCAAACTGGTCCTCCTGGTATCAACTGATGTTGCATGTCTGAATTTTACTTATCAGACTAAGATGACATAGTTGTTGAGACAACTCATTTACGGCAATGTCGTATGAAGTGAAGTTACAATTATAATATAATTTTGATAAAGTAGACTAGGGAATGAATGTTTGTAATCTTGTGAATGGGAGCTCTATGTCTGAGAAAAAATGAAACTTAACTCCTCCAAAGAAGGAAAGGTGGGGCAGGGAGAGCGAGATCGGGAGAGAGCAGGAGAGGGGCAATGCACCAGACCCTAAGACTATTAAAAAATCCTTCATGAACTTAACTAAGGATGAGTGCAGTGACTGGTTATAAAATGACCTCAGTGATTTTTATTTTAAATAATATTATTAAAATCACTCCAGCTTAATTGCCATTAACTCTACTTCTTAGTTCAATGATACATTTCATGCAGTTATATTTTACGCAACACCAAAAGGTTTTTCAAACTGGCCTTTTCTTTTTAATTACAATTGCAAGCTAATACAAATGGATTTTTAGAGTCATGCAGAACTCTTTCTACTTCTGTCATAATAACTCACTCAGGAATATAGTTATGTGTTCCATTTCCCCAATGGGTCATCACTTTTCCTCCATATATGTATTCTGATGGATCTGTTTAAACCTAACCCTCAATGTGCAGAACTGCTGAATACTATGGAAACTTAAAAGGTACATTTGTGGCATCAAAACTCACTGTAATCTTTATAATGTTAAAAAAATGTTTCATTAATAATCAAGGCTGAACTTGACTGTTGAGCTTGGTTAGTTTGATGTTAGCCTAATCAATTGACAATAGATACAGATATCTAGATAGTGAAAAAAAAAATTCAATCTCTAGATAAGAGTATCATACATGTCTGTCAGGTTAGGTCAGGTAAAGAAAATATAGAGATTAATGGGAAAATATGAAGTCTTTTGCTTTCATTGAAAACGAAGTCAAGAGCTCATGTCAATGTTTTAGTTCAAAATGATGAGGTGAGTGTATTTGAGCTTTTACAGATGAACAGGACTCACTCGAGTCTCCAATGTTCATTTGGTAATGAATATAAGCTATTGTCTGTGATAGGAAAGGCTGGGTGACATCTAAAAGGTTCATTCATTCAACAAGCATGTATTGCATACTTATTAGGTGCTGGCCAGAAAAAGATGACAATGACATGATCCCAAATACATACTGCCTCCAATGTTTTATGTTATTTGTGTGTTAAATTCTAAAAGTTAGTGAACTTACAGAATTAATTAAGTGTAAAATTAAAGCACTGTGTTTCACCAGGACTTTGTAATATAAGCACTAGAGTAGAATAGTGGGTTCAGTAGACATGCCTTCCTCTAAATTCACTCATGACTTGCACTGGGTGGATTTTTTTCTTTGCTGAGCCTCGTCTGACAGCTGCACAAGTTTCCTCTGGCTTCTCTCTTTTAATCAAGGGCTTTTTTGCAGGAGCCTTCATTCTCCACATCACAACTGGGTGCCGGGGCCCAGAAGGACTCTGAATTCGGATGATCTTGGTTGAGGCAATGTAAGACATTTTCACTGTTTGCACCACAGCATTCATTAAATTTTTGGCTGCTTGGATCAGGGAGGTGACGCTGTCCAACTGTAGGAGGAAAAAAAGAGCTATTGTTCAAGAATGCAATCAGAAATTTAAAGAGATTTAATGTTACAGAAACTGAAATGTGCCACTCTGTTTTCACCCCAGAAATGAGTTAATCCCCATTTTATGTATCTATGTAAATTATCTACATTAATCCATCCACCTAAATTTATCATTTATCTATTTATTTGATGCATAAATATATTCATATTCTATCTTCTGAGATGATATTTTTAAAAGATTAATTTCCGTCTCTTGGTTTTCAGTGAAATGGATTCTATAACTTCTATATACTATTATAAGGTCCAGGTCCAGATGGTCGCCGCTTTCTTTGTAATGAATCTCCCCCATTTCCAGGGATAATTCTGAGCATTTTCTATAAAAGATGACTGTCCACAATAAAAGCAATTGTATGTGTAAGTTACTTTATAAGAACAGCAACTGAAAATTCTTCCTTTTAGGGAATTTATAGTTTCAGATAAATATGATACACACATACAGCACATACAGGTGTACATATGCATGTATACCATTCACTTTCATGAACATTTCCCAAAGAAGTCCACCTAAAAGTGTCTCTTTTTTTTAAACACAGAACTTTTAAACCTATCATGCAGTGTATTAAAGTAGATAAAGCCAAGTCTTTTCAGTCAAATAAGGTTGGGTTTAAATTCCAGGTCTGCCTTAGAACTTGGGCAAATCATTTAATCATTTTCATCCTAGTTTCTTAAAATATTTGATAGAAAAAAATACTTATTAAAGTTAAATAATATGTGTCAAGGACCTAGTACAGGGATTGCCAAATAGCTGATTGCTATTAAATACATTTCCTTTGTGTCTTATGAAGACTGACAAAATCGTCTAATTATAAAGATGCACTAATGAAAGTACTAAAACAAACGTTTTCCCACATGCTTTTGTTTTTAATTGTTGTCTTCTGGATTGTTCACAAAAATAATCTCAGGGATAAATGGAGTGATATTGCTCGAGTTTTGCAAAACACCTTAGAGCTAAACTGAGTTGGTTCATTTTTATACAACTAATGCTTCTTCCATTATTTTAGTTTGGCAGATTGTCATCCCCAGCCAACTCACACAGGGAGATGTGCCTCCACTGTCACTTCTCTGTGATGTGCGCTGTCAGGGCTGAGACTCAAACACTGGCTCTGTGGTTGCTAAAATCCATCAGCAGCTGCATGGCCTGAGTACTCTACCTTTGCAGCTCAAGGAGTCTCATCTCACATAGAGAATAAATGAACGAAGGAAAGTAGTAAGCTGAGGTTATGTGCCTGGGGCAGCGGTAATTTAATTAGCTCCATTATATGCCAAGCCTGAAATCCTTGAAAAGGTAACACCAAAAAGTATGTAAATTGAAAGGCAGTAGTACTTGGCAACTACACATCTTTAAGTCGTTTTACTTACTGAAGCCAGAAATGTAAAATCTGTACATGTGGCAGGAATGACAAATGCTCTGCAAACATTAAACAGGATTTCATGAAGCACCGCCACGTATTTCAGAGGACACTTAGAGCTTCTGAAACTGTACACAACTTTAAAGAAAAAACACTAGACTTCGAATAGAATAATGCACTTCATTATTAGTGTTCCTCTATGGACAGATTAGAGGCTGAAATCTGTCCTTTAATAATTAGCAATTTTTATTCAAAACCTCTGCGAGCTGGTTAGATTCTGAAAGTAGTTCCCAATCTCACCACAGGGAGAAGAAAATTTTTCTAAATGATGAACTAACATGAATAGTATTGAGGATCCTTGGTAGTTTTCTCTCTCAAACATGAAAATATCTGGTTTACTCCAAGGGCCCTGTGCTACCATAAAGTCTTTCATGGAAGAACATTCTAGAGACCCGCTATCATTCAGGATTTCACCAGTGGCTTTGGCTTTCCTACCCTCTTGTTCTTTCACATGCATGTCTCCTCCTTTTGACTTTGTAATCTTATCATGTATAGACTGCATTTTATTTCATTTCCTTTTGATTTTTCCATACAAGTGGTATATAGAAATCAGTAGCCTAGAGAGGATGTTTAAGTTCAATCCATGCCTTAAAATGTGGATACTGGCTTGTCTTCTTTCTTCATTGAATCAGCAAAGCCCTGTCTATGCCATTGTGATCTCTTATGCTGGCCTCTGACAAAGCCTTTTATTTTAAAATTCTAAATGGCTATAGTAAAACTTCTCCTCTGGGTGACTCAGAAAAACCATAGGACAAATTATCCCCCTAGGAGAACGTGAACACTAGTTTTGCAGACAGATTAGGACAATTGCTAAAAGAATTCTGTCATTTCATGACAAAAACTTGTCAGGCATTCTATAAGGATCTTTGAAATCTAAGAGCTATGTCTGCTAAGATGTATCGCTCTGCTATTAGCCAAATCACTGGTCACACAAGCAAGGTGTTCAGACAAGCCTAACAAATGGTAGGAAATTTTGTTTGAGGTCCAAGCAGTGGCTCAAGCCTACTCATAGAGAGTAACTGCACAATTTCCTGTCTGCAAAAAATTTTTATAATCTTATTGAGGTCCACTTTGATGATAAATCTTTCAAGGGAAGTATTCAATAAAACCTTCTTTGTGAAAACAAAGGTAAATTTGAGCTGGACAATGCATCACTTTGGGATCTCTGTGTTCAACTTATTGAACAAAGTTTTCTGAATTTCACAAATGCACCTGTGCAAGACAAGAATGTTAATATACTCTAAAGGCTCAGTACAGTAAACCAATCAGACTTATAAAACCCCGGTCCAAAGATTCTTGTACCATGATGAATCACTTTCATTAACAGAACATTCTTCTAGGCAAATGCAACTTGAAATGTTTACCATAGAAGGAGCTACTTTCCCTAACATCTGGTAACATTCCTCTATGATCTGGATGAAGCGTTCTTGATCAAAGTATCAACAAAGAACAAAAATAGTTTCTAAGACCTCAAACCTCCTAAGGTCATATGTAAATATGTGTATTCAAGCTTTCTAACCCCCCTTTCCATAATAGGGGACAAGGTTTTACATAACTCTTAAAGAGCATTTTGATCTAAAGGAAAGGGCTCTGATTAATTGGAAATCTGTTCTCTTACCACAGTAAAAGGGAAGACAGCCACGCTTCCTATGCTGGTGATTTGTGCTTATTCTTACAACTCTGGTGTGGCTTTAAAATAACTGTGCTTGTTGGTCCACTAATGTTACAGTAAGTTTCTCAATATTGTCTATGTCCAAACATAAATTAGTAAGTTCTGCCACATTTTTTTAAGATCTAAATAAATATAAAGAGATTATGTTTAGTAAATTAGCCCTTACCCTAAATGTAAGATGTATTTTGCAAACAATCCAAATTATGACCATCTAAATAGAGTCGATATTATCATTTTATAGGAATCTTAGTTTATTTTATTTTAGTGTCTCTGCTGTGCTTTGTGGTATGTATTCTGTGATTTCAAGCTACAGTACAAATTTGTCCAGGTCTAAAAATGTTTTCAGATAAAAAGTTTGGTCCTACTTAGAGATATGTCGATAATGCTTTGCTATGGAAAAGGAGTAGTTCAACAGCAATAAAGATATGTTCTTTTTCCTCATAAAATGCCAACTTTTTGTCCATGTGACTACTATACACAGAACGTCTGGATCTTTCTACAAAAACCAATGTTAAATACCTGTGATGTAAATCCTCCACAACTACAACAAGGTGGAACCCCTGCTGGTAAACCCTTGTCAAAATCCTATTGTGATATTGATAGCCAAGAGTAATAAAAAATAAGGTAGTTATTCCTTCTTCTAATTTTCTAAGTTTCTCGTCTACATTATGTCAGGACACTAGAATGTCTTCATTAGAATGTCTTGTACTAGACTATTCTAACTTCCCATATTCAGGATACAAGACCTTTATCAGATACGCGTTTTATATGAGGAGTTCAGAAAGTGAACCTCACTCCCATTGATGTGGATCTCATCCCCTTGCACCTGGGCCGTCACTTGGGGAAAGCATAGCTTCCCAACCCCTGTGAGAACTGCCATGCAAGCTATTGCTACTGGGACTCCTGGGGAGAGAAAAGCCTGATGTTGCCTGAAAAGATGTATTTCCTTTCCTAAAACCTTCCTGGTAAACTGGTGCCAAGTGTAGACTATGCAATTCTTGTGAGTCTCAATGTTTACCTAAGCTTAAAGACCTCTGGTGGATGTTGCCTGCACAACACAATACTTGAAAGGCAAATGTGTGGAGTTTGGCTCCAATTATAATAACAGCTTATAACAATTGTTAATATCTATTGTGTGCTTCCTGTATGTTGGCCCTGTTCTAAGTAGTTGACATATATTCACTCACAGCAACCCTATGCGGTAAGTACTACTATTATCTCCATTTTATAGATGAGGAAACAAAGGAACAGGAAGGTTTGGTCACTTGCTCAAGGCAATACAGCTGCTAAATGGTACAGCTGGAATCTGAGCCAAGGCAGTCTCGTTCAAATACCTGGTGCTCTTATCCATCATACACCCTGCCTTTCAGTAATATGTCACTTCCAATGTGTGTTTATTTTCAGGTATGAATAGTTGGAGAATTTGCACTAACATTAATATAATGTCTAAAATTTAAGAATTGACTAATAACTGATTTGGGGAAAGTTATAGAACTTTTGTAATGTCTACTGGTACTAAGAAAAATGAAGCTACCCTACTAGCCAAGGCATTCTATTAGGATAGTGATTTGATAATGTTTATATTCCATCATTTTCTAGGAAGAGCTTTTTTTTTTTTTTGAAATAGCAAATAGAAATAGTCATCCTTATAAGCTCCAAACAACTTAAAAACTTTTAGATTAATACTATTTTATAACAAAAGATTTTTAAATTTTAAAATGTGGGTCTCAATAAGATAACAAAAAAACATAAACAAACCATATTATAGATTCTAGGACATAGAACTTCATAACATCATTTCATCTTTAAAATGTGTCACAGTGTAAATATAAACCAAATTTTCTCTGATTCGCAAATAAA